TTTTATCGTGTGTCCGCACATCCACCGTAACATCCTCATCTCGGCTACATGAAGTTTATTCTCGTGTTTCCCCTTTGCGGCCCAACACTCGGTCCCATATAATATAGCCGGCCTAACAGCAGTACGGTAGAACTTTCCTTTAAGCTTAAGAGGCACCTTTTTATCACATAGCACCCCGGACGCCCTCCTCCATTTCATCCAACCCGCTTGGATCCTATGATGCACATCGCCTTCCAACTCTGCATCTTGCTGAACAATAGATCCCAAATACTTAAACCTTGGGACTTTTGTTATTGCTTGCTCTCCAATCTTCACCTCCTGAGTTGCCCTTGTGTTCCGCATGCTAAACTTACACTCCATATATTCCGTCTTACTTCGGCTTATCCGCAAGCCATGTTCTTCCAGGGCTTGTCTCCATCTTTCGATCTTCTCATTTATCTCTTCCCTAGAGTCTCCCGTAAGAACAATATCATCGGCAAAAAGCATGCATCGGGGCACTGGCTCTTGGACATGCTCAGTAAGCGCGTCCATAACCAGTGTAAAAAGGTAAGGACTTAAAGTAGACCCCTGATGAAGTCCTATGGTAATAGGAAAATCCTCAGACACCCCACTCTGTGTTCTCACGCTAGTCTTGGCCCCTTCATACATGTCTTTAATCGCCCTGATATAAGCAATACGCACCCCTTTCTTCTCTAGTGCCTCCCACAATACTTGTCGAGGTACTCTATCATAGGCTTTTCTTCTCTACTGCCTATGCAGTGTTTTTTGGCACTACATAGCCGGTCCTAAACCCGGAGAAAAGGTGAAGGTTGTGTTAGGCTATTCGACAAGCCAGCGTAAAAAACCCCAGTCGAATCTCTATGATATGGATCAACGATGTTTATTGACCCATTAATGTATGAAATTTGGATGGAACAGGATGATGAAGTTACCAAGAAATTAAAATTAACTATAAGAGAATCAGTGTTAAAGGAGTACCAAAAATTACTCCTTGATAAAGTTGCAATAACCATATCCAGCCAGTCAGTGACAATATTGTCTTTTAATGGTTATTTTTCTCCTCATTAAATTCATATTTTGAAACAAAATAGGAAAGAATAAAACCTGCATACTGCACATCATGGATTGTTAGTGTTTTTATCCAATTCAAAATTATGTATAACAATTTATTTCATTAAATATCAATGTGTACCAAGTAATTAAGACAAATAACTACAATGGAGTATTATTATTATTTTTTTATACATATCAGAAATATTTTTTTACAAGAGACAAGTGTTAATTAGAACTTGTTATAAAATATATATTAATAAAAAAACATGACAAAACCTTTATATATATATATATTAAATATAAATGCATATCACTTTGAGAAAACTTTAATTTTATTTGAGAAAAGTGGCAATCATACTAAGGAACTGTTACTGAGTTTTGTTTAAATAAAAATAAAAAGTTATTTATACAAAAGAATTGATGAGAATTATTAAGTGTATAGCACCAACTAAGTGGAGGTTTCTGGATTCTTACCTAGTGTAGAACAAACAATCCTAAGAAAGAGAAGACAATCAGAAAGTATGAGAAGCAGCAATGGAAGAAGGTGAGGAAAAGGAAATGCAAAATCCAAAGATGCATTTGACTAGTAGCCGTAGGGACTGGGGAGGATGACTTTGCTTTCAACAGCTACACGCGTTTTAATTAATCACTCCTATACTTATTATTTATTCAATTCAACAGCTGAAAGGCTAAAACTTAATATTACTCAATTATTCCTCTACCTTTTCAATGTTTACGTTTACCGTCCTTTCGCTTAAATAATATTCGCAAAATACTTCTTTATTCGTTGACTTCCTTTTCTTTATATTTAAAATAAAATTTTCTTTTTTCATATAGTTATCTTTTACTTTTTATGTTTTTTTTTTTAAAAAAAAATCTTGCCTATCCTACATTATTAAAATGGTCATCCATTATTTATTCATGTATTAAGCTTAATAGTGCTAGATGTGAAAAAATATCTAGCAAAAATTCAAGTTTCACATTGACTAAAAATAACGCAATTAAAAAGTATAGAAGTGAGAGACAACTTACACCTTATATGTCAGTTTTAGGGTTAAATTAAATCCAAACCCACATTTTAAGATGGTATTAGATATATCTAAATCTTACTTTAAAAGGGTTACCGCCATCAATTACACATAAGACAATTAAAGAAGAGTATATAAATAAGTTTAACCCTCACCTTACAAGCCAATTTTATACCGTTGAGTTAGGTCCACACCCACATTCTAAAAGGTTTTATAATTTAAAATAAATCTATTTTTTAATACTTTTAATATCTGTAGTCATATTTTTTTTCCTATAACGTCTATTTTATATTGATGTGTTAGAGATCATTTTGTGAGAGTAAAAAAAAAATCTCAATAATTAACATCGTAAGTAAAGATACAAAACGTGGAAATATCTAATTTAGGATAACTACATAAAAATAAATTTGACACTATTTTTGTCACGTCAACAAAATAAATAGGTTTACAAAAAGGACTAAAAACATTAATAGTGTGTTTGGATGAAGAATTTTATAAATTCAAGGAATTTGAATTTTTTAGTATTTGAATTACTTTGATTTCAATTTCTAGCATTCTTAAAATATTTTGTTTGGATAAGTCAATTTGAAAATTTTTAAATTTTAAGTTATTAGGTTGTATATGATAATTTGATTCCACCATGATAAAATTGATTTTAAAAATATATTTATATGTTGATATTTTTAAATTAAATTTTATAAAAATAAATTTTAGTTAATTTTAAATATTTAATAATTTTAAAAACTAATATTAGATAATATTTAATAATTTTAAAAATATTTTTGAATATTCAATAATTAAAAACATGAAGAGATAAGAGATGAGAAAAAAATATATAAGTGAAGTAAGAAGCAAAAAAAAATATGAGAAATTTCAAATTCTTATTTTTTTGGGAGAATTTGAAATTATACTATTTCAAGAAATTTCACAATTGCTTGAATTTCAAATTCTTTATAAATTCTCCATCCAAACAAGGTATTTTACCTCAAACAATTTGAAAATTTTCAAATAAATGAATTACTCTATTTAAATTCCTTATCCAAACACACTATAAAGATTGTAAATATATGGACTAAATGGGTTTATTTTAAATTACAAAGATTAAAAGAGATTGAAAACACAAGAACTAAAATGTTTATTTAAAACTATAAGGATTAAAAGGTAAAGTAAATAAAAATATTTTAACCAATAACATATATATATATATATATATATATATATATATATAATTTGATATATATGATCTAAGAATAATGAACTTTCAATCTAATGGTTGAATTTTCAAAATTTACATTTAATATAAAGGTTATTGAGCGGTGTAACACTTAGTAAAAGTTACACCGGGGTCGTTTGAACCCT